TACTGCATACAATTCTTCAATTTCAAATTTAGCACATCTGTTTGCATTTAATTCAAGCTTTTTGGACCCCTTCTTTCAGTTTTAGTTTTTTATCCATCTGCAAAATTTTAATTTTTTGGAAATTCACATGAAAATTGGCAAAAGCAAAACTTCATTTTCTTTCATGAGAAACGTTACATGATTGAATAGTTCAAGACAAATGGTCACAGCTTTCAATGCAGAAAAAAAGCAAAGGCAGCAAATACTGTACTCAAATAAGCTGATTATGCTCCACAGAAAAGCAAAAAAGGGGGAATCACAGGAGTATGGTACAGTATTCATATCAAGTACTGTATACACCTATAGGTATATATACTGTTCAGTATTTAAATTTTGTGCTCTTTTGAATTTTTACATTCAACTTTCAAACAGGTATTCAAAATTTGTTCACTGAAATAAAGTATTGTCAACTGAAATATGTTTTGAACTGAAAAAGTAGAATTACTTCACAACAAATCTTTTTTTAAACAAATTTTTCATTTGAACAAATGCTTCCTTGGTATTGGCAGTTTCTCATATAGTCATAAAGATATAAAAATCTCATTGAAAAAATAAATAATTTCTGTGCATTGACTGATGCATAATCAATAAAAGCTTAAAATAAGATTTCAGTTGTAATCCTCACTTAATTTTTATCTTCTTTATTTTCCTCCAAATTTTCAGGAAAAGTTGTACTACGAGGCTTTTCAAGCAAGGCCAATCTCCAAAACACATTCGGCATCGACGAGCCCGAGTGCAGAGAAGAAGTCCGATTCCCGCAGTTGAGCCAAGAACGATTCTTCCTGTGCGCGTGTCAATATTCCATGTGCAACCGGAACTCGGCGACCGGAAATAAACCGGCCGCTTCCGTAGCCGCCATCGCATTAATCTCGTCAGCGATAATATTCAGTTTCGCGTGAGAGAAGAAGAAAAGCAAAAAACAAACGCCTTATTCTGCTGATGGGCATGGAGCAACGAATTTTGATCTGATGCGAAATCAATCTCGCGGACAATATGGTCGTTGTTCATTCGAAACGGTTATATAATGGCATATTGTTTGTTTTTTTAAATGAACCTATAGAGGAAATCTTGAATGTGCTTTTTTGTTTTTGAAAGACATCCACGTCAAGTCGTGAATCACAGAGCCACTGCTTAGCTGCTTTAAAATAACATACAGAAAGTGGAATTTCCAATATTTACATGTAAATCTGGAATAAAGAATTTGTCCCTTCTGCTGCTGATCTATTGATATTTTCAACTTTATATTTTTTCCTTTGCAGGAGGATGTGGTTTTACAAATTTAGAATTTTTCCACCACGATAAATATGTGACTCGGTTTTATATAAATATATAATCCATTCAAGTGGGAATAGGGTCACCATAATTAAGAACCCTAAATAAGCGATCGAAAAAGTATACACAGAAGATCAAATTTCCACTATAACACTTTCGGCAGACTGCTCAAAAACCCGTTCACTGATGAGCAATTCAAAACTTCGTAGGCATTAATTTGGAGTATGATAATATTTTCCAAAACAAATTACTGCTGCACAGTATTTCAATAATTCTGAAATAAATCACCGATAACATGCATTCAACAATAAAGGAAAAGCAAATGTTTGACAACATCAAGAAAGAACTTAGTATAGAATACAGTCAATCCCTGTCAAAGATCCTTAGATCTTGACAAATAAATTGATCACGAAATAAATGTATGGCACAATAAGCCGTTTGCGGCCGTGATGAATAAGTCTCCACGATCAATCGTATTTTTGCACAAGTTTTTGATACAAAAAGGTTTTTCACTTTTCAGATACGCAACGAAGTACACCTCACAAAGTCTCGGAGCGAATTACGTGAAGTTCCTTCGGTGCTTCGCGATTCGGATGTTGGAGAAAAACCAGTTTTGTTAAGTTTCAGGTTTTCATGGTCAGTTGGTTTGGAGATTCGATTTTCGTGTTCGTGGCGTTTAGTGTTGTTCTGTGTTTTCGGGCGACCTCTAGGGCTACCTGATAACCCCCACAAAATGGACTTGAGTTGTGCAACAGACTAGTCTGTTCACTCCGTTGGGTGTAAACTATGTTATGCAAATTCAACGATTAAACAATTAAATTTTTTCCGTTTTACCAATAATTTTAAAACAGCAGGAGTCTGTTATGCGGATATACTGATAAAATCATTTCCATATCATTGTCCAAAATATGGAAAATCAAATATGGAAAATGATGAATGCACACAATCAATTTAGGACAAAAGAGGACAAAATTATCCTTGACTAGGTTGAAAACACCAGAATGTGAATTGATTGTGTGCATTTATCATTTTCCATATCATTTTCCAAAATATGGAAAATGATAAATGCACACAATCAATTTAGGACAAAATTATCCTTGACTATATAGGTTGAAAACACCAAGTATTAAAAAGATTGAGGATGAACAGAATCCTGTTCCTCCATGCCAAAAATCTAGAGATTTCCATGGACAAATTTATCTTAGTCAAGTATAATTCTGATGCATGCATTAATCCATGTTCTGTCTAGGAATTGAGACCCCAGTCATTTTTATGGCTCACAGCAATTTTCCAACACAGTTATTGATACAAATATCATTTGATGGAACAATTGATTTCAATTAGTTTATAGCTATTCATCCAATATTCAAGGAGTATTGGTTCCATGCGGCTATAAAACTTCCTTGGTAATTTTTTTTGTGGGTCCCTCTGAGAATGACTTATTGAGAGAGGTTCAATATGGTATTTAATCTACCTTCAAAAAGTATAAATAAAATAATTATAGTAGA